TACATATACATATACATATACATATACATATACATAAACATATTGTTGGGATTTTAAGCGCGTAAGATACCGAAAAATATTGGGAACACCAGAAAAATGAGAGAACAAACACAAGAAGAATATATGAGAGAAAAAATTATATTTCCACTATTTCAGGACAATATACAAAAAACTCTTCCCTGTTTACAAGACTAAATTTCAGACACTCATAAACAGATCTTTCACATCCTATGCCCGGATGTATTTTTCCGAGTAACTAAAACCAGTTACTCCCTACACTCACCACACTTACCAAGACCCCTTGGATTTTCCCGGTGGTATTCTTGTGTAGAATTTCTCCCATGCTTCTCTCTCTACATTAGTGGTGTGTAAAACCCACACACACAAATACACCGTAGCCTTTCCATTTTAAAGGGCAAAAAAGAGAAGCATAATTATTTGCCCCAATCAATTTGCTACAGGAGAGAATCTAATCACATGCATACTTCCACCTTTTTAACTCCACTCATGGAGTACTTTTGGCTTTCCCTCTGTCAGGCTCTTTTTTTTTCTTTTTTTGATTTTTCTTTTCTTTCTTTTTTTTTTAAATATTTAATCAATATTTCCTAACAAACTCCACCTTGATTAAATAATCAAAAACTTTGTAGCTCCACTTTACTTCTCCAGTGAGATCACTGCTACTCCGAAATAAAAAAAATATCCTTGGCTCCATCTTAGTCTGCTCCACCGAGATCACCGGTGGCAATCTCAAAGAAGAAAAGAAATACCTTGTGGCTCCACCTTGCTCAATACCACAAGAGCCCAGCCACTTCCAGTTGCCGTTGAAACCGTGACTCCACCACAACCGACCCCGTCAAGATCTTTGTCACTACCTTAGCTCCTTAGAGTTTTAACCCTCCATCCCGAGCAAAAAAAACAACTCACCTTTGTTAATACTCTCTGAGACCACCCCTCTAGCAATTAGTTTTTTTCGATCCGCCCATCTTGCACCGCCGCAGCAACACATGCGGGACACGCCGCCCGACCTCTTCTTGCCGGGAAGACTTTCGACACAAGACATAAACCGCAGTTTTCCACTCCGCTAGACCACGGGTCTCCTCATATCATTTTCCTGCACCATACTTCACAAGCCAGCATGCCGCTTCGTACCCGGTCCTCATGCCATCCACTTTGTTCTTGAAGTCCCATGGTCGCCTTCTGGCCAAAACTGACCAGTCCCTGGGTTCTCAAAATTTCTCCTTTTACCGCTTACAAATCCCTCCTGCCCAGCGCAACCAAGCTCCGATACCAA